CCCTCCGCGCCGTGCTGGCGGGCGGCGGGGAGCCGCCTTCTCCCGCGGCGGTGGGTGCCGGGCGCTCCGGGACCGTGGGGCTCGGGCAGCCACGCACGGCGCGGCCCGGAGAGCGCCGGGGAGACGGGGCTCCGCTCTGCCCTGCCCCGCACCCCGAGGGCAGGGGGAAGGGTCCTCACCGGGAGTTTGTCCCTTGCACGGAGGGAAGGGGAGGGAAGGAGTGGGGGAGGGATGGGGGCTTAGGGCGGAATCGCTGAAGTCTTTTGTATGTGCCTTGATTTTTTATTATTTTTTTCCCCTTTCTTTCCTCCCCTCTGTTTGCACTCTCCTTCCCTTCTCTTGTTCTCTCTGTCCCTGCCCACCCCACCCTCCCTTCAGATCCGGCGATTCCTGCCCTCGCCTCGCCCTGTCATTGATGGGAAATCAACTGGATCGCATCACCCACCTGAATTACAGCGAGCTGCCGACCGGGGACCCCTCGGGGATCGAGAAAGACGAGCTGCGCGTCGGGGTGGCTTACTTCTTTTCGGATGAGGAGGAGGACCTGGACGAGCGAGGCCAGCCAGACAAGTACAGCGTGAAGGGCTCCGGCAGCCCTGGCCAGGAGACGCCCACCCACCACCTCCACCACCAGCTGGTGCTGAACGAGACCCAGTTCTCCGCTTTCCGCGGCCAGGAATGCATCTTCTCCAAGGTCAGCAGCGGCCCCCAGGCCGGGGACCTCAGCGTCTACTCGGTGTCAGCCCTGCCTGCCCTCTGCAAGCCGGGGGACCTGCTGGAGCTGCTCTACCTGGGGCCGTCGGAGCACCCGCCGCCTCACTGGGCGGTCTACGTGGGCAGCGGGCAGATCATCCACCTCCACCAGGGGCAGATCCGGCAGGACAGCTTGTACGAGGCGGCCGCGGGCAACGTGGGCCGGGTGGTGAATAGCTGGTACCGCTTTCGCCCGCTGGTGGCCGAGCTGGTGGTGCAAAACGCCTGCGGGCACCTGGGCTTAAAAAGCGACGAGATCTGCTGGACTAACTCCGAGAGCTTCGCCGCCTGGTGCCGCTTCGGGAAAAGGGAGTTCAAAGCCGGGGGGGAGCTGCAGGCTGCTGCCGGCACCCAGCACCAGCAGCAGTACTATCTCAAGATCCACTTGGCGGAGAACAAGGTGCACACGGTGAGGTTCCACAGCCTGGAGGATCTAATACGCGAGAAGCGCAGGATCGATGCCAGCGGCAAACTGAGGGTGATCAAAGACCTGGCGATAGTGGATGAGAAAGAATAGGGAGTAGCAGAGGCACACGGCTATCTTCCTTCTGCCCTGCCCGGGGAGCCCAGCCTGCCACAGAGACAGGAGGCTGCACCCTCTTTCCGTGGGACACGGCTGGAAGCGGGATCCATGGCAACATTCCAAAAAACCAGCATTCTCGACGCCCATAGCCAGTGTTTTGTTTGGCTTTTAATAGCATTAATGCTGAAAGAGCAAGAGAGGAAGAAAAGAGGGGGGGAGGTGCAGGAAGGCTGTTCTCAGAGTACGTGGACAAAGTCTCTCCTGTCGATCGATGTTGACCATTCTAGCAACATGCCAATAAAATTTCAAATTGAAATTATTTTTTTAATTTTTATTTCATGGCTTTAATCCATGATAAGTTTGAACATCTGGGGCCATGGATGTGGATCTAGCTAAACGAGTTTCTAGCTAATATTTGCCTTGCAGCCAACCAAAAGCGTCAATCATACTTCATTTAGCTGGGAGGGGAAAGGAGGGTTGAGGGGGAGAGGATGGGGTAAATGCCTGTTTGTTTTGTTTCTCAACACTGTTGCTTCAGCCTGTAGCTGCAACCTAAATTTTCTCCCAGCCAACTTTGGCAAGATATTAACAGGGGAAAATGCTTTCACATTTCTGGTAGAAATCTATTACATTTAAAATATTTGTTGTCTTTTGCTTTTTGTTTGCAGCTCTCTGCTAAATGTCATTATAATGCATAAGCTCTTTCCACGTCTTCCCTTTCCCCAGCCTCCCTGCCTTTTTTTTTTTCCTTTGGAAAAAAAGTTCGTGAGCAGCTGTTTTCCTGAAACTAAATTCATTGGTTATAGCAGGTGGTGTATTTTGGAGAACAGTATACTCAGTGTTGCTCCTCAGAGATCCAGCCTCTAGGATCTCATGCTTGAGCTGTGGATTTGTATTGCTGTAGTGATTCTCACTGCACCACTGCTTCAGTACCTCTTCATGCACAGGTCAACAGAATCCTGCAAGAAACAAATAGGTTAGAATTCTGCATGTTGCCTCTTTGAAACAACAATTTATTGCATATTTACAATTCCACTTAAAAAAAAAATAAATGTAATATGGCCAAGTTCATCTTGCATTTCAAATTCCAAGCCACCAAAAATCCCGTTCAGTCTAAGTTTAGAAATCCACAGCTGCTTGAAAAGATGCCTTTTAATGTGATGTGAGCAATGCCGTGTTTGTATTTCAGATCCTATCCACTCATTGCTTAATTCTAAGTTTTGAAGTGAAAGATCAGAGTATTAAATATATATTTTAAAAATCTAAACAAATTAACTATACTGGGGTATTTCTACAGCTGTCTATTTATTTTTAATTATTATTCTGAGCTGCATACAACTTGTTAATAAGCAAATTGTCTCTGCATGTTTCAGTACTGGAAAGAAAATGCATTTGTTTTTGTCCCCTCTTTCCACATCAATGGCAGAACAAAAGTAATACCCCTCTTCTGTATATATAATACACTCCACCCCTATCAATGTACTGTGTCCTGGCTCCTTTTTGTATTAAACAATATCATAAGCAACCTTGTTGCAACAGTAATTTCATTTCTACAAAGTGTTTGCACCCCATATCTGAAGCTGTGAGGGTGGAGTGTACTTCATTATAACAAAAGTGTTAACATAAATATCTTTATTTAAAAAAAAAGCCCAAACAAAAAAAAAGCCCAAAACCAAAACAACCTCCCCCCAAATCTGCACCCCTTCAGTGAAAGTCATCTAACAGGCTTTGTGTTTGCTGATGTACTTGGCAAAGTTATGTTGTAATAGGCAGTGTTACTTTTATCCTTTTCCCTAAAGTACCTTGGTTAGTACAATATAGGATAAACATTTGAAAAATGTGAATTATCATTCCTGTCAAACTACTACTGAAATAGCCTCAAATCACAACATACCTTTTAATGAATGTGTAATATTCTAGCTCTATATTGGCAGTCTGATAATGTTAGCTTTTCCTGTAACATGAGCGGAGTCTTCTACATAGCATTGCTGTATCTTAATAAGTACACCATATTAGATCTCCCAAATTGTCTGTTAGAACTGTATCACTTGGTGGGAGCACTGTGGGATTGCAGAAAGTACTAACTTTACACCCAAGACAGTTACAAAAACTTAAATGGTAGGAGAAAGAATGGTAGGCAAAAACTAATTTGTTATAATTTCCCCTTGTAAAAAAATATACATTAGAGAACTGAGGTAGGAAGAGGCAGGGAGAATGAGATGTAGAGGGAGTAAATAAGTGTTTATGAAAACAGAAAGAATGGAGTCACATTGTTATTTTTGATTTCTGGAATGCCTTTTCTTCAAATTGCCTTTAGATGAATAATATAGGATCAGAGAGATGATCTTTGCAAGAACAGCATTGCATGTCCTCAACTAGTGAGAATTTAAAACCTACTGGCTATAAACTTTTCACCGTGCTTTCCAAATACTGCATTGCTCTATCTGATCAGCCATTTTAACTTGGTGGGGAGGGGTTGGTAATGATTTACTAACGTGGGTCGTGAACACAACAGTCCTTGTTTTACCTAGCTGGATGTCAACAGTATTTTGTAGTATATAAAGGAAGTTACAGGAGCTAGTCTTTCCTTATTTATGCAAGCTCTGTCAGAAATCTTTGGCATTGCTCCAAATTTGTACAGGTAAAGAGAACAACCAAATTAAGGCCTTAGTCCTTTGCATAGGGTGTGGAGAAAATGTATTGGAAATATTCACAGATGGTATTAACCTAGGATATAGTAATGCTATGACTGTGTTCAAGTAGCAGTCTCTTAACAACAAAGATACCCACACAGATCCTTTTTTCTTTTGCTAGATTTTCAGTTCAGAGTTCCTGACAGCAATCTGGCCCTGATTCATAGTCCACTGAAGTTAACAGAAAGGCTCTCACTGACTTCAGTGAGCCTTGGATCAGGTTTTATTGTTTAGGAGGCGGTTAAAATTTGTGGACCTTGAGAAGAAGTGAGATTTAAGATGGCATTTCAGAGACCAGAAGGTCCACCTTTCTGAGACTGGAGACAGTGGAAACAGGCAATACTGTGAAAATAAGGGAAGAAAACAGACTAGTTCTGAAAAAAACAGTGTTAATCTGAGATGGCAGAAGGGAAATAATGAAAAAGGCTGAGTGAAAAGTGGATATAAAAAGTTGTTTTGTGCCTTGAAAAAACAAACAGAATGCCAGAGAGCCTTCAGCTGCGAGAAAGGCAATGAGTGAATGACTGACAGGTAAAAAATGTAATTGATTATACTCATCTTTCAGGATCAGTGACCTGCCTGAGTTAACATTTCCATTTCCAGGAGTAAAGATATTGACAAATTATATTATATCTCTGGAATCTGTTTACATTCTTCAGCCTAGCTACCTAAGGTAAATATTTATATCTCATTCATTGGTCTTGAAGTATTGACATGTAATATGACTGCAATGTTAAGATACTTTGCCCATCTTTCTTTTGTGTCACGTTTCAAGCTTCCTGTTAGATATTTGGGTAGCGGTTTTATAGAATCTCTTTTGCTTGGATATAATTTTCTTTGTCTTTTCAAAATGCAATCTTTTGAATTGCTTTGAGGCAAACATTTTATTAAAAATTCGATTCATGTCCCCTTGAAATATAGAGAGAAATGTTTTACTGTCGTGACCAAAATGTTTACTGGTTATTGGCTGTGCGTGTAGGTAGAGGACTGTAAAGATGGGTAACAAAATACATTTTGTCATTATCAAATTTTGTCTCCATCTTTAGTTTCCAGATTATTTTGTTTTCATTTGTTAGGATTTTTTCCCCTCTCAAGTCATTATGGTTCTATAAAATGGAAAAAAACAAAACAAAACAAAAACAAAACACACAAAGCCAACCCCTCATAGTGTATTTTTAGGGCAATAAGCTGTTGATCCATATGTGGATTTCAGATTAAAAGCAGGGTCTAACAAGATACAGCCTTCAGGGTGTGACAAGAAATGGCCTTTAGTCTGTGCTAGAGTGTGCACAGTCTTAATTATCCTGCCTCATTTCATTTTAGTGTCTTTCATATCCAGGTAAGTGATGTGCAAAAATTTGTCAGAGTTTATAGACCTGTTTATGCGATGTGTTGAACATCTGTAACTCCAACCAACATTGGCTGGAGTTGAGAGAATGCTGGATCTCACCCGAGACACACATCTTGTGGGATCGGGTCCCTCAGCCCACCTGGTTCCCAGCCCTCTGTTTGCAGCTACAGAGGAGGCTGAGATAGCTGCTGCTCGTTTTAAGATTTAGTTATTTTCTATGAAAGATTTCTAGTAGGGTAGCTAACAGTGTTCTGTCCATAATTATACTTGGCTGTGACTAAAAAGTTGTATATGTTGCTGCTTATGCTGTGCAAACTGTGTTTTCTGCTTTACAACCCAGGAGAAAGATGACAATCCCCGTCCCAAAGAATTAATCCAGAAATATGTAAGGAGGTGTGATGGGGCTACCACGCTGAGGGCAGTTTCGCCACAGAATTAGGATCTAAAGGATGATAATATATGACTAGGGTGTGATCAAGTGCTGCTGATAGGTCATGAGTGTCAGTGTTTCCGTAGCAAGTCTGAAATTTATTTGCTTACTTTATTATTATGAAATATTTAACTTCTCTGTACTTTGAGTTCAAATTTGACATGTAAAACTGCCCTAGGCTCATGGATCCTCTGACACAATGTTAGTTTAATCTGTCACATTTTTTTACAGTTTTATTGTAAAGAAAATTAATGAATACTAGGATTAGATACTTTACTGAACTGCTTATAAATCAAAAAGAGGATAGTGTAGATGTTAGGTTGGAAAAAGGCAATGAACTAAGAATCTTCTGTTATTTGGCATACCAGTGGATTTACTCCAGATTATATAGATATAATCTATACAGATGTAAATTACCAGTGCTGTATTTTTTTAAAAGTGGTCGTGGCACTCTGCAAATATATAGTATTATCTTGTCTAACTAATACAAATCCCCTGTGAAGTTCTATTTTTTTTTGTATATTGAAATGCCAGCATGCCATTGAAATTAAAGGTTATTTTAACCATATTTATCTTTGAGAAATAAACTGGAATTTGTCTTATGGGATTTATAGTTGAGCAGCTGTTAAGATGCACTTCCATTTCTTAATTTTAAATATTTTGCATGAAACACAAATGTATTCAGGTGGATGTGTCTATAGGAAACAGAGAATTTCCATTAGCAGAAGCCATTCAGATTAAGATTATGCTTTTTTAAGGTGATAGTTTTTGTTGGGTTTTTTTCCCCATATTTTGGGGGCTTTGGGGCATTTCTGATTCTGCAGATGTATGTAAAACTGCTTGCCTCTTCAAGTGTTTGCAGGATCAGGATCTTTGACATAAAAGATGATCAATCCTGTTTGTGTGGCATTTATTTTGGGCTAAAATCAAGGAGCAGAACTCTCCAGGATCAAGAACTCAGCATAAACCTCCTATAGAATTCAATGGAAGGCTCATGTGTGCGATGCCTACCACAAGGGCCTTAATTGCTTATTCTTACTTGTACATATCGTCATCATCTATGCAAATTGGCATTTTCCTAGGTAAAGTGGGTTAATGCTTTTCAAACATCCCTTTGACTTTCTCTTGTGTGGCTGTGTGGGTACATGTGGTGGGCACAAATAGAAAATTGGAGTTTAGTTTGTGGTCTTGAGCTTCTGATGTGCTGTAAAGCCAGTATCTCCAACTATTTTGACAGGAACTCAGGTGGAATTTGTTACCAGTGTGGGTACAACAGAAAAGGATGGGAGAGTTTGCAGTTAAACTTCAGGCTGTTCAAGGAAGATGTTCAGAGATAAGAATAAAACTTGATTCTTTCTTTCTCTTCTCCAAGGTGCATGAGGGTGAGTAACCATGCACCCCTCATAGAGAAAACCATTCACACTTTGGAGAACCATGCTACTGCCTAGGCAAAATAGGGTGAGTAAAATATGCAGTGTCTCATCAGCCTCGAGTAGCAAATAATTTTTCACAGTTTAAAGACTATTTGGATACAGAGTGGCACTGCCAATCTATTTTGAAAAGTCATATTTTTTAAGCTTATAAAGTAAGCAGCATAATGCTTATAAGCGGAAGACCTCAATAATCTTTCTTGATAATTCCTGTACAGTAGAGGTAAGAGCTTGTTCCCAGTTTGTGTAAATAAAAGAGTAACCCCTATTCAAGAAAATTACCATGCAGTTGAATTTGCGAATAAATGAAACAATCAAGCCCCAGATTTAGCTCTGACATGATGCTATCACTGCTGCAGGTAAATAAATGACAAGTATCTAACAGCGTGAGTAAATACAAAGTGCTACACTGTGACATTTCTTCACAGCAGAGTACTTTGTGCCACAGAAGGAATATTCCTCATATGTTATTCAACATGAGTAAACATATCACAATCTGGTTTTAAAACAGATCTCTTTTCCATATGTTCCTATTGTTTCCATATGCCCTTTCAGTCAGCTGAAAGCAATACAAAAACTGAGTCTGAAAAACATACTAATAGTTTGTAAATATTTAAGCAGAAATTTATATGCCTATTGATATATAACTAATGGATATACTTGTATATAATATACATATGCATACCATGTGTGTATATATTATGCATACACACACACAAGAAGTCTTGGCTATTTTGTTAGCATTGGTAATAAATGCCAGTTATTTCAGTATGTATATTATCTGTGCAACAGATGGATACCCAAGACTTCACTGACAGGATTTTAACACTATTCAAATATTTGTTCTTTAGGGTATGCCATGGTCTTCTGACATCAAGAAAAGTGAGTTAAATATGTGGGGTTTGACATATTGCTACTTACTGGAGGAAAAATATCGAGGAGCACTACACTTTGCAATAATGAAGTACCCTTTTAGAATGAACTATGCTGCTACTGACTTGTGTATTTATAAATAAAAGAATGCTCCAGTGAAGTATTCATCCATCTTTCTTTTTGGCATATTTTAATGGATAGTGCCACAAAGGTTGTTTGGTGGGGTTTTTTTTCATAATTTGAATGTTTTTCCCCTCACTGTAATAATTTGGAAGCATAACTCTGAAATTAGCTGTGTTCTGTTGTTTGGACGCACTCATCTATTGCTGTATAGTTGTTCTTAAGTAAAGAGGCAGCTGGCATTGATATTTCTTGACTTTCCTCATCTTATCTTTCTTTGAACTGATGTGTTTATTTCAAAAGCTAAATGGTGGGACTTTGAAAAGTACTTACTATTTGCTTGACTTTTTCCCCACTGAACTCACTGGTGAGCTTTCACCAAAGTTATTTGGGCCACGGTTAGGCTAACACTGGCTGCTCTTAGAAATCTTGCCTAATGCATACAGGGTGAAAATCAGCTGTCAAGACCTGTGAATCTTCTTGTGGACTGGATTGCTGAGAGTTATACTTCTGAGTCCTTGACAGATGACATTTCCTTTCAAGAACCAGAATTATTCCATGTCCTCACCCATAAAGTTTTTATCTCACCTGATAAAAGATTACAGATCTTTTTGCTTATCCAAAAGCCTTACTCCTCATCAAACCACCTGTGGATTATATAAGGGGCTCTTTTCCATGAACAAGCCCATCACTAGAAATAAGTGTTACAGGGACTGTCAGAACTGAATCTTTGCCCAGAGAATATTGTCATTACCAGAGGTTGTGGAAGAAAAAGAATTCACTCCCCTATCCTGCTAAAGTCCTGTAATGAAACAAGTTCATTTAAACAGATAAATTTCAGTATTGCTACTGAAAGCAAATCCAGTATAACAAATCATGGACCACCATAGCATTGGTGGTAATTGAAACATCTGACTGAGCATCAGCAACAGACACTTTTAAGAAACTTAGATCGTGTGTTAAATGACAGCTTCATTGAACAGAGGTACCTTAGATGAATGCAAAGACCAGTTAATGTTTATCATAGAACTATACGACATGGCTGTTTATTTGTTAATATGCCACAGCCTTTCTTCAGCTTTAAATTTAAACCTCATTACATGGTATGTCTGCTACTTGACAGACTCTCTGTATTTCTAGCCTGTACTGACTTTGTGCCATTGATTCTTCTGTTAGGTGTAATCAAAGGTCATTAATATTGAAAAGTTCACTTTAATTGACCCATTGACTCATTTTAATTATGTCAGTATAGAAAAGTGTCAAGTGCTAGACCCCTACACAAAGGGTCAGTTAATATGCAGCCTCATCCTGGCAGTAATGTTGCCTGAATCCCATTAGCTCTAGCTAAGGACTGTAAGAGTTTCCTACTTCTTTATCTCTCTTTCAATTTGAAGGAATAAGGGAAAAAAGATTGGCAGAAGAAAAAGGTTCTAAAAAAAAGTCATGCTCGGCAGAAATCTTGGGCTGTTCTTTTATATTTATGCTTTGTATACAGATAGACTCAGAAACATGGAGATAAAACTTCCACTTTGTTAGGAGCACCAATTATAGAAATGATACCCTTTAAATTTTGGCATGCTAGAAGCTTGCCTACCTATGCTGAATGAAGAGGATAATCTTTTGCTTTTCCATTTCACAGCATGCTAGCAACTTTTCTTAATCCATAGGAACCCGAAGTTGAGTTCACTGTCTGCTGATAATGTATCCCAAGAGCAATAGAAATGTCAAATGTTTGCATACTGCAAGTGATATCAGTGCTGAAAACCTATCTTTAATTTCATTCTCCTGAAATCCTTAATCTCATACATATCTTTGAGTTTTTAATGACTTTTCTAAGAAAAATGCCCAAGATAACATGAATGGAAATAAAGCAGGAACATAAAATGTCAGGGGAAGAATTTGTTTCATGTTCAGCTATGGACTGTAATATATTTCTTATTTGCTTGCAACAGGAATAAGATTTGTATCGATATTTTGGGAGCAGTTCATCTTGCAAGATCCATAGTCCTTTTTTCAAAATTCAGGTATGCTTTACTGAAACAAACAGTGCTAAGGAAACAGAAAATTTTGAGTTTAATAAAGTTGTCATATTTGTGGAAAAACTCAAATAACATTCTTTAGCTGTTCCAAATCTCATATGAACTAGTTTCAGACTGAATAGCTCAAAACCATGAAACACTTAGTCTTGTATTAATTTTTTTCACAACAATCAGTGTTTTACAAATACGACTATTCATATGTGGTACCTCGTCTTCTTAGTACTTTATTGAAGATCTCCAAACTGGTTATTTTTTCCAAAAAATGTCAAACTTCTGCCACCTGAAAATGAAGCCCCCCAAGCAGACACTAGTCAGAAACCAGACACTGAAAACAGCTTGAGTGGAGCTTGGAAAATATTACTCATATATTTTAAAAAGCTTTCAAGCTGTAACATAAATCTTACAAAGCATAGAATTCATATCACCAAACATTAAATCTATTAGGATTTTTAAACATATAGGTTAGCACTAGTGTGTTACATGTAAAAAAGGAGGTTGATAAGCACTTTATCTTAAAAATGAACCCACTATATCTTGAATGCAAGTCGTAGAGGTTGAAAAGGTATTCCTTAAATCTGATGTATGAGCTAATCTATCCCCGCTTGGTGAGGTTTCCATTATCATTCAAATAAATGTGTCTGTGTACATGAATACTTGTTGGATCTCTGTTATTACTTTTGTTTGTGAGTATTTGTGTGTGACAATGGCTCTGAGTGATCACAGCTAACTGCTACAAGGATACTGGCATCTCTATTATCTGTACATTGAGTGTGATCATTAACTGTTAGCCAGGACGAAGACAGTAGAAAAATCAATGCAACTTTGGTTAGAGGAAAAATACACCAGGGTGATAGTAGTGGGAATAATCCTTCTGCAAATGCCATTTTATCCAATGTATGAGTGGGGCAAATGCATAACTGAATGGTGAAAATGCAACAAGGAACGGAGATTAAAAACAATCAATTCTAGGATTTACTGGACATACAAAATATGGAGATGGCATAGTGGAGCTCGTAATGGTCCTCCCACTAAGGCCCATAGTATCACATGAGCGTGACAAACGGTCGCCAATGAAAGGATGTTTAGAAATGTCCTTGCAATTCCCAGAATGTCAGTGTCATCAGGGAATGTAAGTATAAAATGTGCAATAAAGCAAATCAACCCAGCTTCTTATGTCTTTTGGTTAGCTAAGAAGCATCGCATTTACTCAGAGACCTTGGCAAAATGTAACCATTTACATAAAGATCTGGTTAATCTAATTTCAATTATCAATATAGACACGCTTTTTCAGTACTTAATAGGAATGGGGTGTCCAAGATACATCATTCTCTAAAGATATCTGTCTCCATTAACTATAGGAGTTGTCTAGAGTAGCAATGCTTTAAATTTGCATACTGTAGTTAACTGGGATAAAAACAGACTGAAAGGCTCTGATTCCCCCCTGCCTCTAATTTTTTGACCTAAAAGTTGTATGTATAGTCTAAATTACTCATCTAAGAAGTAGAAGAGAGCCGTGCTTTCAGAGGCCAATTCATACTATCTCAACACATATGTAGTGAAATCACACACTTCAAATGTTTTTCTCTGTTTTACGATTACACAGCTAGGATTAACCTACTGCTGGAGTAGGTACAGAGATGAGATTAATTGAGAAAAAGATGATCTGAAATAACATGCTTTCTTCTCTTCCAAGAAGAGCTCCACTGCTTTGTCAAACCTCAGACTAATAAATCTTGGTTTACTGAGTTGGGGAATGCTGTGTGACCCCAAAACAATTACAGTCTAAGATAGACTGTAGATAATTTATAAACTCTAATATTTAACAAATAGGAAATTGCACAGAAATTATGTCATAACTGTAAACAAAATATTAATTAAAAAAAGTAAAAAAATAATTTTGAAAATGTCTCCTGAGTAATTTGCCCAATTCTAATCACACACAGAGGAAAACCTGCTGCCCTCTAGTAAGTCTACAGAACTCAGTCAATTATTTAAAGATTTCCCAGGAACTGATTACCAGAGCATCTGGACATCTTACAATAAAATAAAAACAAATATTAATTACACAACTATCTATTCAGATGGCTCAAAACACTTTAGCTGCCTTTTATTTGCCTCATAAAGGGCCAACATACTGACATGTTAGTTAATTGAATGCTTGATTGAACAAGTAAACCTTACACTTCACTACAGCCTGCCAAATTTGAATTTTGGTGGCCTGCCAGAGGAATAGATTTCCAGTGTGAGAACCCACCACTGATATTGTAGAAAATGTTAATCTGATGGCTCATTTTAGGAGATATGCGATTCATTTTAACTTTTATGAGGGGAAATAGTATGAGAGGTGTTCTAATGTAAAGTTCATTTCCATACCATTAAGTTTTAAATATTGTTAATGACATTTTCAAGTTTGTCTGAATGAAAATAAATTATCAGCACATATTTATGAATTCATGTTTTATGATAGTTACAGCAGATTATGTTAAAAAAAGAACAGGTACACTCTGTATTTGCTGAAAATTCTCAGCAAGTTGTTCTTACTATAGTCTTAAGTAGCATACCTGCAGACAGGCAGAAAATATATAGATAACTAATAGAGAATGCATTTTAAAGGATGTCTTGTGTTAGTGAGAAAAATAAACATTATTAAATTATGAATCCTTATACAGCAATAGATCCCCTAGGATATCAGCTGGGTAACCATACTCGTAAAGGCTTTAACACTTATTATTCTCTTTATTTATATGGATGACAGGATGTCTTGTCAGCCAGAGATATATTCACTTGTCTTAGTTACTGTTAGTTATGGTCAGTACAGTAGCAAGATGACAGACTGCATTTAAGGAGACTGAAGTGTAAGAAGTGGATGTAACCACTTGTGATTGAGTTAACATATTTTAAGATTAACAGCTCACCTTAGCTTTTATTCAAAACAGCGGGAAAAAAAGAGATTAAAGTGATGCAAGAGATTGTAGCAGAAAAATCTCAAAATAAATTCAAACTTGAGGTCCTGATGTTAAGGTAATGTAAGTTGAAGAAAGCTAAAGTTAAAACAGAGCTCAAGGCAGGCAGAAGACCCAAGTTTGAAACCCTTAATAGCACTGTAATTGCTCAAGCACTTAATTGCTGTATTTTGTTCATATGCTCAAGGCCTGCTCCATTAACCAGATTCTTGTTTAGTCTTTTGCAAGCAGAGGAGGGAGTTTGCT